CTGCGGCACAGGTGGAACGAGACAGACTCCCTGTTTGTGCTCTTGCGTATCGATACATGCCTGCTGTATGCAGCTAGCCATATTCATGATCGTGTACGTAGTTGCGCATGCATGTAAGCAGATTGAACCCTACAAACCGCTTCGAGCATAACCCTGCAGAAAAGGGTCGGAGAAGCGTATAGAAGTTATTGCATCCGACAATAACGCCCAATAAACAACTTTCCAACTTCCGGTATATTCCCCCAAAACAAGTAACGATAAGGGGCCCAATATTCCAGATCCCAACCGCTTTCCTATTAGGGTTGTCGTAAATTGCCAAAATCGTGAGGGGTCATAGCAGCGATATGCGCTTATGACGCACGAGTACTTTCCATTGTACCCATTATACAAGTTAAGAAGATCAAGCACGAGCTAATCACTTTGGCTAGGACGACGAGATATCGCTACTTAAACACTTTTATAATTCGGTGAGGTCCTTTAGTAGGAACATACAATAGTAAAGGAGTCTCTGGAGCTCTGTATTCGCTTCAACACGGTCTCTGAACAACGCTTGGACATTAAAAAGATAAAGCTTTCGGCGCTAATCAACCCCGGAGGGTTGCGTCATGTATTCGATTTCTTCAAGCACCATTAGAGGTGGTTGACTGCATATCTGGCGTATGCAGTGACTCGCTGTGGCCTACCAGTGTATGGAATCTCAGTGCTGCTGTTTTACCAGACAGATCTGGTACCAGTTCGCCGACCTCGGAAGATTGGAAAATTTGGTGAGCCTAGGGCGTGGGACTGAACGCACGTGTATTTCAGGGTGCTTCTAACCACTATGCTACACATGTCCTTTGGACATTTACGATTGAGAAACCGTAGAAGAGTGCAAGGTGCCCGAGGTTAAAATGATAATCAATGGCAATTATGGTAACTTGCAGTTTTCGTTGGACCACATTCCACGCGATAATGAAACTTTAATGAAGTATCACGAGAGAACAAAAAGTCAGTTTGTCGCAGTTTTATCTATTGGACACCTTGGCATCTGCTGATAATTTTACGATAACAGGAATAGTTGAAGCACCAGTTCTCGATGGAATTATAGCGCGTAACTTTACTGAGATGATTTCCCCATTTCAAATCTCTTTATAAATCAATTTTTATAAAGAGCAGAGATGGAAACGAAGTTCATATCTTTAAATCCTGCAACGTAACCTGAGAGGCACCCCTTGTGAATGTGACATTGCGTCCTGTTCTACGAAATCCCGCTTGCTCAGTGCGTCGATGCTCAAAGTACGAATCTAATTTTAAAAAAAAAACCACTCCACTGCTCCAAGGAACCATAATGTTATCACTGACCACTGTCGAAAGCGGTCTTTACTTTCGCATTGTATGACTCCCATAGAGGTTAGGAAACATGAATAGACCACTCTGTGTCCCTAGAAAAGAACACCTATACGGAGAACTTAGGAGCGGACGAAATATTTCACGAGACAAGCGTATGATGCAAAGACATAGCGAAGAATATTTTCAAACTTGGGTGACTATTCGCGTACAGGAATCTTAAACAGCATCGCGAAAAACTATTGAAGAGTTTGGGATAAATTCCAGAAGTTCAAAAACGAACCGCATGCAGGAATGTCCTTTGGTCACGCGTGACTTCGAACTATAAAAAGGATAAAGCTCTCGGCGTTGATTAATCCCTGAGGGATGCGCCATGCATTCAACTTCATTAAGCATCGTTTGGAAGCGATAGAATGCACATCTGGCTTTTACAATGACTCACGGTGGCCTACCGATGTATCGAGCCAGTGTTACCATCCTCCCAGACAAGTCTGGTACCAGTTTGGTGACCCCGGAGGGATAGAGGCTTGGTGAATCATGGGGACGGGGATCGATTCCACGTGTGTGTCGCAGCGGCGCCTCCAACTACTGCACCACACGCGCGTTCTATCTCAAACTATACCTCAAGCTAATTTTATGCATCAGAGCAGGTACATTCCTCACACTTGTAGAACACTCTGGGCGGCTGGTCTCAATCAAATAATTGGGGGACTTCGAGATCTACATAGATCACTTACATGAGCCGTACCACATGTCGGCCCATTGATCGACTCGAGCGATTGCCAGTGTACCTTCTATTCCTCCCTTTCTAGTGCAAGAGTACCCAATGGGTTCTGCTCGTTCTAGGTACTCATTGAGCATCATAACCTTCTTCTAAGCTTTTCGTGAAGAACGTTTGATTTTCGAAAGAACACAGTCACTAACGGCTAACGGCTCTTGTCCATCGGTCGTCGTTCATACGCAGTGCGTGTCGGCCCATTCTGTCCTCGACAGTCTCGCGTATAAAAAGACGGCGTTTTTGATTCTTGATCTTTAACGTGGATCGGAACTTCGGATCAGTTCCCCTCACTCGCGTGGTGCGAGATACACCCAACATCATCTTTTCGCCTGGGCGTTTTATAACGCTGACTGATTCTTAATCCTGTTCACATAGCGACTAGGTCTCCGAAGTCTATGTTAAGGTAGGAAGAATCGTGGAGTCAAAAAAGTGAGCACGGAGTGAGATATTCTTTGTTCTCTTCATTACATCGTCGATGCTCTTGAAAGTTCCCTATCACCATGACGCTTGTTTCCTGCTGCTCAACTCTGGAGCTAACTAGTTCGTTTTATTGATTTTCCAACCTAGATAGATGTTACTGGAACAATCGGAGATATGCATTCCGTTGAGCATGAATAGGCCGTACATGTTTCCCCATGAACGTCGTTTTTCTAAGATTTAGTAGGAGACCAGTCTTTCAACAAGCGTTATTAACTGCTCTAACTGCGTCTAACTGCTGAAAGCTCAAAATTGCATTTGAAGGGGACCAGTCACACTGAAGTTTTTGAAACAACACTGGACTTTTTTGCCGAAGTTGATAGTGCAGCGATGATACGAACACTCAAAATGAGTTATCGAATTGAGTGTTACTAAAAAAAAAGCGAAATGGTGGCCATGTCTGTTGAAGGGAAAAAAAGAAATGCACTGACTGAAGGTCGACTTCGACAAATGTAGAGCTGAAGATGACTCCTGTGCTGAAGATGCTATGCTGGGCTTCGGAGGCTTTGATCCTATCTCTTGCGCGAATCAGAATGGCTGTGATGTAGGTGGTGCTCTTAATTTTATGATTAGATGTTTCTTTATCATCATTATTATTATTACTATTATTACTATTATTATTACTATTATTATTATTAATTATTATTATTGTTAATTATTACTACTATTACTTACTTGATCCTTACGTGAATGGTTCGTCCTCACTAGTTGTGCGGGCACCAGCATAATCTCCATTTTTCGGAGATTTGTTGGTTAAGCCATTATGGTTCCTTGGAGTCCCGAGATCAGCCTGGCCAAAGTCTGCTCCAGGTCTTCACCACCACGGGCAGTCGCAGCCCTTGTGAATCAGAGGGAGATTTACCACCATTCAACTTTGATACCAGGACGGTGGTGGATACTGGTATTGGTTTATGCTTAGCTAGGCTTCCTGATGGAAATGCCGGACTCCTTCTCAGCTTGGGAGACCCTGCCAGGAGACGAATCCCCCACTGTACATCGCAGTCCGACACCCAGGAGCACCTCCCAGCCACCATGAGGCGGCATACCATTGGGAGGGATTATTATTATTATTATTATTATTATCATTATTATTATTATTATTATTATATTATTATTGTTATAATAGTATTACTATTATTAATTATTAATAATAGTAATTTTGTTCGTATTTTGCTCAAAAAAAAAACGAACAAAATCACTTGATCAATGCCGAGGTTAATAGAAAGTCGGTCGTGGCAATTAATAATAGTAATAATAATTATTTATTATTATTATCATTATTATTAATACTATTATTACCATTATTATTATTATTTATTTATTATTATTATTATTTTAAGGATAGTTCGTTTCCACTCCGGACCAATAAAGCCTCTCATCTCTCCGGGAACCGGACTTGTCTGGGGAAAAATCACTCTCTGCAATTCCAATTGGGAACGCTCCGGCCCAGCTGTTTCAGGACTCCCGGGGGGAATTGCTCGACCAACATTGTACAACATTTAAGATGAAATTGAAGTCCTCAAGCAGCAACCGAAGCCACACGTAAAAACATACAAGACCTTCGTGGGCGATGTATGCGAGGAAACGAATTGGATGTGAGAAGTGCTGGGATCCGCACAGTAAACGTGAAGGCGGATCAAGATAAAAAATAAAAAATATTATTATTATTATCATATTATACAATAAAGACTATCGATCTATTCTATGATAACGGTTAGTTCTTACCAACTGAAATGATTTGAAGTTTGCCAAAGATTTTTCATTTCCACCAACATTTAACGGCAGTTTCCCAGTCAAAAACCACAGCTCGGCGCCTAGGCATCATCTAAATATGAGCAGTGCTAAAAACTTATATTTCGGGCTGGACTGGAACGGACGGCCTTACCTGCTTGACCTACAATTTCAATCAATATAACTACAATTTCTCTTTAAGTTCTCTAAACAGGGATAAGAAGATTTTTATTAGCGCATAGCTGTTGAGCAATGAAGCGTTTGAAATGAATAAAGTGTCTACGCAGTGAAAAAAAAACTTTACGGTTAACCACGGTCGGCTTTCTAATTTATTCCACGGTCCCCTTTTCGGTTATTAAGCTAATGCGAGGTCGATAAAGGGAAATCAAGATGTTCTGTGATACGAGTCAGTTTTTTGGCATGAGCTACTGCGTCTTGGACGCTCGTAACTAATATCCAATAAGTGAATTTTAAAGAGTTTTGTTAACAGTTTGGATCAACTAACTGTAATAAGAGCCTACGAAGTCCAGACGTTTTCGCATTAAACACCGATAAACACATAATATGTTCATTTAATGAAGCGACACATTCGCGGTGAAAAGATCAGAACAAATTTTATTATTGAGATGTATTCGACATAGGTATGGGGCACATGTAATCTTTCTGAGCAAAAAGTTGGGTGTCGCTGTCAGAAAGGCACAATCCAGTCTGCATTTTCCTCCGGCGTGACTACAACAACGTCTCGTGAATTGACAAACTTCGGAAGACGTGAAGAGACTGGTGAAAGCCTTTTTGAAGTGTTGCTGTAATTAAGTGGAGATGAGGTAACAATTTAACCGGATAAAATCGAAGCCTTCCTACCTTTCTTCGATTTCGTCCAAATTCTTTATAGGCCGTCTTGGTCGTTCACTTTTGAAATGTTGAAATTTTCCGCTTCTTGGTTGTTCATGTTCGATTCCATCAAGCTTTTCCCTGTTTGTCCTCACTGGTGATGGGGTGGTAATGCCCATCAGTCGTTGAAACGATGGAGGCATAGTTAATCCGGGAAAAGTTGGCATAGCAATTGTGGCTAGGGTGGGTATCGATGGGAAAGAAACCAAAGGTGGGAAAGTGGCAACGGGGAACGACATTGGTAGTATAGAAGGAAGTGCAGTGGCTGGCATCGATAGGGGTGCACGCATCGGTTTCGGCTGCTTCTTAGTCGGTGAAGTAGGAACGTATGGAGGAGATCTTCTTACACCCGTTGAAGTTCGTTTGAAACCATGGGCTCTTGGCACCGGGTTTTGCAGCTTATATACAGGAGCCCTCAAAAAAGTTGGTTGTTCCTTATTTAGTGGTGTGTTTACTCTCAAAGATATGATAGTTCCATGTGACCATATAACTTCAAGGAACAAATTTTTCCATTCACATATTTTGTGCTTCTGTCATTGCTCTTATCTGAAAGCTTTGCTGAGGATAGTAACATCGCCTTGTTCACAAAAAGGACGGAAAGTCGTAAAATGCAAGGAATAAAACCATGGAGCCACCAACAATCATGGATTCATTCAATCCATTAGTCGATTTTTGGAAGATGCTTTTGTCGACAAGATCGATTACATATAACTAACGGCCTAATCAACATCTTCACCTTAGTGCTGTGAGCTGAAAAGTTTAAGAACGACGTTTGTCTCCATGGACACTTAAAGCTAATACTTTAACGTGGAATCGCATTCCATACGCAGTCTGTCCACACATGGAAAACACTGCAGAAAAATGGCAGAAAAAGATGTTAAAGATTCTCCTCAGCAGCCATGTCCTCCCACGTCCATATGAAATCAGATAGGTTGGCTATATCATTTCACCTTTTCTGTCCATAGGAATTATTCATCAAATAGTTCCCATTTTCTATATTAGTGCATGTTTCTTGTTCACCTGTAGCTATCTTAAATCTATCTTCGCATCTTCTCTAAATTGTTTCTTACCCATTCTCTCATATAGTTGCTTCGCAGGTGGCTGGGAAGGGATTCTATAACTCCTTTCAACAAACTGCTCTTCTTTGTCCAACAGTTCGGGCAATCAGCAGCAGACAGCTGAATGCACTTTCCAGCATCTGACGTCCTAAAGTAGTTTCCGAAAGAGCAGCTGCGCCCCTTCACATGTAGCTCTATCAGATTGTGCCAGTAGAACAAAACCTTTAGGACCTCTCTCTAGGCGCTGTTTTTAGTTCTCTGTGGCAAAGCTCCACCCACTACAGAAGTAATACAGACCTTTCGTCTTCGAGGGTTCACAGTGTTTGTCCACAGTCCATCCAGTTCGTTCATATCGCTTAAATCGTCCATATACTTCGTCCTACTGTTATTCATGTTACTGCTACTATTATCATAGAAGTTGTAACCCAGCGTTCGACTCAGCCACTTACACACAAAAGACCCACGTGGCAGCTACAAGGACAAATATTCACAACGACTTGGTATTCATATAAAGTTAGGTGGCCGGGAATCGAATCCAGGTCGCCCGCGTGGCAGGCGAGCATTCTACCACTGAACTATCAGTGCCTAGACAGAGCTTCTAAAGGTTTTTTCTACTAGCACAATCTGATAGAGCTACATGTGGAAGAGCGCAGTTGCTCGTTCGGAAACTACTTTAGGATGTCAGATGCTGGAAAGTGCATTCAGTTGACTGCTGTTGATTCAGTGCCCGAACTGTCGGACAAAGAAGAGCAGTTTGTTGAAAGGAGTTATGGAATCCCTTCCCAGCCACCTGCGAAGCAACTATATGAGACAGTGGGTAAGAGACAATTTAGAGATGCGAAGATAGATTTAAGATAGTTACAGGTGAACAAGAAACATGCACTAATATAGAAAATGGGAACTATTTGATGAATAGTTCTTAAACTGTCTTCCAAAATGCCATATGGTGTTTCGTTGATGAAGAACCGTAGAAAAGCACAACACACTCTGAGTAGGATAAGCTCCGGCCATTTAACGGATTTTCTGCCAGTCCTCCAGGCTTAGTTGCTCACATGTTACCTTCAGAATGCAAGATTCTATTCAATAGATCAGCCAGAGCGTGTTATTATTCAAAAAGGATGGCCTCAGCGATATCGGCAACTATCACCTAATATTCCTGCAATACATCGCACATAAATTTTCACTCGAATCATCCTCAACTGAAGTGACACAACACTAGACGAAGGACAATAATGCGAGCAAGCAGGTTCTCAAAAAGGATTTAGTACAATGGAGGTCATCCAAGCAATTATAAGTCCCGTTGATGCGTCTCTAGAGTGCTCTTGTTTTGTTTCCGTCGTCATAAAAAAGGTTCTTTACTCGGTTGGGGGAAAATCGGTCATGGAAGCTCTGGACAACCAGGACGTCGCTACTCAGTACACAAAGTTCCCTCGTGAGAACCTCACAACTAGAATTTCACCACTCTCTAATATTATGTACTCTTTCCTTGATGAGCTTACACGAGGCTGACAAATATATTTATTTTCGACTAACGTTTCGACGTCTTCGTCTTCATCGGAGCCGATGATCCCAGTCAATGGTGCACGCTTGTTATTCGTCTCGATGCGGTTGGTTAGCCTTCGTGTCGAGTTTGTTCTTTCTCAGCAGGCCATTTCCTCGAATGAAGCATACTGACACGGTGATGTCCTTTATATTATTTATATATTATCTAAATATATTTATCAACCTCGTGTAAACTCATCAAAGAAAGAGTACATATTGGCTAGTTACACAGAGGTTAAAGGAAAGTTGGTTTCGAAATATTATTACGCTTTGTGCTAGCTGATAGTAACACCGACTTCTTCAGGATGCATTGTCCGGATGGAAAACAAGTTGTTATCACCGGACATTATCATCATATCCAGCATCAGCAACCTGCATAAAAGAGCACCACCGAGTAGGTATGCCTCATTCGAGGAGATGGCCCGCTGCGGAGGAGCTGACTCGACACGAAGCTGAAGCCACCACATCGAGACAAATGACAGGAGTGGACCATCGACTCGGATCATCGGCTCTGAGGAAGACGAAGACGTCGAAACGTTAGCCGAAAATAAATATATTTATCAACCTCGTGTAAGCTCATTAAAGAAAGAGTACATATTGATTAGTCACACCGAGGTTAAAGGAAAGTCGGTTTCGAAATGCTGGCAGTGTTCACCTCGGAAAACAGTTGAAAAGGCGGGCAACTCGACTCTTGCCAAAGATCAATCTGATATGATAACACGCATCACGGACTATTCACATCAAACGATGAGACCGCTAAGGTGAAAATGCTTTTCAATAGGTCAGCAAACTTGAAAATAATTGAGCCATGACTCTTGACGAAAACTAGCAGTTCTGCCACGAGGATGAAGCCTCAAGAAAAACGCACGATTGTGGTCTCGATGACGGAAGACGAGTATGTGGTTTGAGCAAACAACTAGAGTTCATGTTAACGCTAACTCTCTGAAGGAAGGGTAGTATAGAGACTACCTTTGCAAAGAAAATATGTCTCTACATCTATCCTCTACGAACTTCGTCAACAGTGTTAACAAGATAAACGCAATAAAACAAGGGGTGTAAAAGTACTCCTTATCTCAACAGTATATAGAGATCACCATTTAGGTCGATCCAATGCTGCCACCATTATCACCATGATTCGATCCTACATCCTCGTCTATTAAACTCTACAGAAGAATAACCTCAAACACAGTATGTAGAAATATTAGCCGAAAATAAACATCATTATCGACCTCGTGTAAGCTCATCAAAGAGCGAATACAGTATGTAGAATTTTAAGTGTTTGCAGGTGTGCGTACCATAAGCGTTTCAAAAAAGTATTAGCACAGCCAATATCATCATATTTTATATTAGAGCTGAAAATCGCTCATGTATACTGGACAGCCCTCCCAACGGTTTACCGCCTCATCGTGGCTGGGAGGCGTTCCTGGGTGTCAGGCTGCGATGTACAGCGAGAGGATTCATCACCTTAGCAGGATCTCCCAAGCTGAAAAGGAGTCCAGCATTTCCTTCAGGAAGCCCAGCTAAGAATAAACCAATACCAGGATCTGCCACCATCCTGGTATCAAATTAGTCACATGGTGGCAAATCTCCCTCTGATCCACAAAAGCTGCGACTACCTGCGGTGGTGACGACCTCGGGCACCCTTTGGCGAGGCTGACCTCTGGACTCCAGGGAATAGCTGACCAGCAAACTCCGATAAGGTGGAAATTATTCTGGTGCCTGCACAACCAGTGAAGACGGGCCGCCCAAGTATAGAAGTAAGTATACGGGGCAGCTACGTAAAGTAATTGAAGCAATGGGAGTAAAGTGTGGAACAGCATAGCGTTTTATGTTGCAGCATAGTGACAACCTTCTGTTTGCTCATCACGAGAACAGTAAATTTTACCGAAATATGTTTCCGTGGGGAATGTTTTACAAGCTCAATATTGTAAACTCTGGACGTGAATCATGCCGACTAGCATAACTCCAATTCTGATTTTCTAATAACTCAGCACAATCCACAGAAGCTGACGACCGTCTGTAGTAAAGCACCAGAAACGCATATATAAGGATTCTAGAGAGAATCTAGTCGACCAACATTCGTCGAGGACAAGGTGCTTATGTGGAGCCGAATCCACATACGAATTGGAGCGTCTTCGGATGCGATACGAATCAAAGAGCTGGTGTGATTCGTATAATATGTGATGCCTGGTCACCTCAAGCAGAGTAAAGAGAATAAAAAGAGATTTTATTGCAAAGAAAAAGTGGCTTCTTTGAAGAAGCGTTAAGTAAGGAAGTATTCAAATGTACGAGTGATTTTCGGTATGTTACGCATAAAATCTAGTCTCTTCCATTTTAAACGAGAACAACACTGATACCTTCGAATTTCAGTGGAGCCAACATTTCGAATCGCCGACGCTCGCGGAACTTCTTCCACACATTTACCAATAACTAAAGTTCACATGTACAAATTCATGTTCACATGTTCACAAGTACAAATATTTCAGCTGTTAATTTTGAATCTTCTTTGACCTTTCATTCTTAGACGCCTAAGAGGATTGAAGAATTGAATTAACATGCGAATTCCTACTCCATTGCATCGATTCTGTATCCTTTGTTTTCAGAAATAAGACGAGTAAATTTGTAGAACTAAGATGTTAAATCCACTTTTATCCTTGCTTTTAAAAAAACGTACTCGAATGCATTATAGCCAGTCCCTTCACTTGCAGCTTTACAAGGTGTGTGGGAAATTAGGAAATCTTGATCATATGAAGCGCAAAAAATTAGTTATTAAGTCGCAATTTCTCATTTCCCTTTATCCCACATAGAGTCATATGCACATATACACATATGCACTTGTAGGAAAACGGTAAAGCACTAATTTATGGTTGAAGACCGATGGCAGATATAGTGATAACATCAAACCTCATATAACACACTGACCAAATATCACGATTAAGCAGAACACGGATGCCCGCATGACGAGGATGGCGAAAGTGTGGCCTGGATTTGCGATATCCGGCTCGATGACACGGAGAATCAAACCAGAAACTGCTGCGGCTACCTGGTGATAACAGAAATAGCACCTGAAACAAGGGAAGGATCACCCATGTATGTCTACCAGTGCTTCACGTTTTCCCATTTCTTCTACGACAATTATCACCGGAATTTCACGCTGAGCTTAAAAAAACCCTCTGATTTTTTACCATTACGCTCCGTAGATATTTTTCTATTGAACCAAGGTTTTTCTAGGCTACTAAATTAGAAGGTTTCAGTTTAGACCTAAATTTCTTTAAAGCGACTGAAAAAATAATTTGACGCCTCAAAGTAAATGGTCTTCATAAACGATGATTCGCCTTACAGAGACAAGAAGGTATTTCTTAGAGGTCGAAATGCATTTTATGCCCTTATCTGAGCAGTGAGGAATTCCATAACTTCAGATGATTCCCGGTTACCAGCTGTCTGTTGTCTTCCAATAGGGACCTAATTTATCCCAGATGACTTAAGGTACTGTGATCTTGCAAGAAAACAAGACAATCTCGGACTACTCGGATGACTCGTCTTCAGCTTGTGGATACGATATGCCGACGGAACATTGAAATGTAATCAACAGCAAGGAACCTTTTTGTCACCGCGTTAAGAACATTTGTTATCTCAAAGAACACCAAACTCACGTGTCCACAAGGTTCTTTCGGGTTTGCGAATGCTGCTATGCAGTTTATTAGAACATACTGGTGGATGATAGGCAGATCCGGATTTCTGCAAGAAAAGTTGCTGTTGGATGACTTTTGAGGAACGTGTGACTTTGCCTGTTTCATGAAAAGATTCAAGGCACGTCTCTTAGACAGTTAGTCAACAGCTTGAGCTACGCTACTATGTAAAAATTACATGTATTTGTCGTGTACTGAAGCCACCTTGTGGCAAGCATCCCATCATCTGCGATGGCTTCAAACGGGGAAATCCCGTTGTGCTTCTCCCGACAGCTGCGTAGTTTCAGTGACAGTGTCTGTCGTAATGTTAGGTTTAAGCTACGGTCAACATAAAATCTACATAACATATTGGAACAGCATTGTTGAATTCTTGCGATCACGGTAATGACATCATTGGAAGAATGAGGATATGATTACAGTCAGAAACGTATTCGAAGGATATTCTGTGGAGAACCACAACATTGTCGATAAGTGCATTAGAACAAATCTACATCCATATGCCCTACTACAAAGCACTCCACCAATAACATCTCGATGACGTCAAATATCCATATCCTAGGTGTGTGGTTTAGTCGCCAGTGGTCTAGTGCACCACGGTACCGAGCATTTCTGCACTTTAACATTACTTCTTGAAACAAAACGTTCATAAAGAGTACCGGAAGAGTAATGGTGGACCACATGTACGAGATGTGTGGAGATGACGTCCCTCACAAAACCCGTAAAATCTACGATCCACAATCGCAAAGGGTACGTGTAGCGCAGAGAATATAAGCGCCCTGAAATACACATGGGATCAACCCTGTATCCCAGGCTCACTAGGCCTTCCATCTCTCTGGGGTTGGCAAATTGGTACCAGACTTGTGTGGAAGTATAACAGCACTGATTCGATAAATCGGTAGGCCATCGCGAGATACCGCAAAAACCAGATAAGCACTGCCTTTCCTGACGATGTTCAATAAAGTCGAATGCAAACCCCACCCCGCAGGGACAGATTAACGCTGAGACCTTTATTCTTTCTTTATCTACTAATCAACTCTTCCTTCTTATGCCGAAACTTACAAAGACAAACAGTTGTCACCGACATGTTATACTAGATTTCTAATAATGGAAAAAAATTGTCACTAACCAACAAATCGTACCTGTTTCACCATACTAGAGGTTAATGATATCATGTGGACACATTCACTCCCGTGTAGAGACGAGAGAAGAGTTAAATATGAAGCGTTCGGCGTTAACCTGCTTCCTGAGTATCCACTATTTGATCTAATAAAGCATCACAAAAGTTAGTAAAGACTGTGGCTTAATGGTGGCCTACACAGATGTATGTGTCTTTACCTTCGCAGACAGCTACAATAAATTGCCAACCCCAGAAGTACAAGAACCTTGGTGAAGCTTGCGCGCGTTGTTGAACCCAGCAACCATGTGCCTTGCAGAGCGTCTTTAACTGCTGTACTGCGTCCACTCTCTACCATCTACATGAGTTGTGCAAATCTTAAAAAGTGTAATTACACGATGTTTTCTACAACTCAAGGAAAACATATTTTATTCAAGTCAGCGGTTTTTACACGGATGAAGCAAAAACAATGGTGCAGTGTATAAATACAGAACAATTAAATATCACATCCGACTGTAAATTTAATTACATAATTTAGAAATTCTGAGAATGAAACAATAAATTCATTCTGAGACAACTGGACGATAACTTATACAGCCACAGCCCTTCGATCCCGTTGTGCAATATTGATCTATAAAAATATAACTGGTATAAAAACTTCCCATGCACTTTTCCTACACATAATGCAAACTCAAAGTACAATGAATATCTCGGAACGAACCTTGTCGCCTAAAGTCAGTGCCATACCCTGACTTTTAGCACGAATTCGTATATGTCCAATGATTGGTGAACCTTCATCGAGTGGAGATGCTTTTTCTATTGATACGTTCGCCAAAGCATCCTCTCCAAATATCGAATGAGCACATAGATTAGCAGCCAGAAATCCACAATCGCCTTCTGGAGCCGAATTTGACATAATAATTAAAGGCAGCTCAGAACTACTTGGACTTACTGATCAAAGAAAGAAAAAAGAAAAAAAAAACCTATCGCAGCATCTCCAGTTAGAATTTTCATATTCGTAACCGATGAAAGATAGTGCAAAAATTCGCGCAAATCGGTAATAGGTGTGTTGACGGTCACCTGAAAGACAAACACCATTTTAAAATATAACTGAGCTAACATATTCAATAACCTTATTTTCCCATTCAAAATCGAACCACATTTGTCTGAATTCGGCGTCAGTAACATTCCCTGGCACAATATAATCCTTAAATGATTGTTTGTGTCACATCTTGTACTTTACAAAAACGAATGAACATGGGAGAGAATATAAATCTAACCATGATATCAATCTTGATATCCTGAAGATAGACACAGTTTCTATCAGATGTGGACCCGCGAACATCGTAAGAAATAGTCGAAAATATTACACCATTTTCAGTGGAAGCGACTTTAACGGTAGCCTGCAACAATTTAACTACTAATATATCCCTAAATGCAGATGCTTTTGACGTGATTACACTAATATCCCAAGTGATTTCTATATTCTCGGTTTGTTTAAAAAGTATTGCCATATTCGCTATAATTTACCCTTTAAAATACGACGTGATTTATTTACAGAAGTTTCTTTGGAGCGTACCTTTATATTAGTGAAGTCAGATGGAGCTAAAGTTATAGGAGTGGGTTTGTCAACAAGTTTAAGATCTCCAACGGTTGATAACTCTAGCGAAACGTTCTGAAGCGTATCAGCTGTCTGATTTACAACAAGCACATCGAGAACTGTAACAGAATTTTGATCTGGAAGCCACAGAAATAGAACTGCAAAAAATAAATGTTAACGAAATTTCGAGTAAAAAAGGATAATCACAATGATGCTGAGAATATTTGCAAAACTCTGGACCGCAAGTGTCTGCGGTGGGGAAGAACAGCCTGGCATTTGGGCTCCCCAGATCAAGCCCGTTGACAGGTGACTGCTGATGGTTGTGATCGATAGAAGTAGCTGAAAGACAGGCAAAACGAAGGATCCGCATGGTGTGGTGGTGAATGCGTTAGCCCCCGGAAAGGGTAATAGCGCGTTCGTTCTCCAAGTCAGATGCCTGCGGTCCATATCTCAGCATCACTATGATTGTATCAAACATAATACCTTGACGTGAAAAGTTGTAATAGGCAGTAAATAAAAAGTTAACATTAAAAAGATAATAATAGAGGAAGTAATACCAATATCATATTGGTTAACGTTCACATACGCTTCCGCATATATCGGATCAGAAAAACCTGCCAACTGAATAACTTTGCCGAGTTTGGAGCTGAAATAGAAATTCTACTTCAACAGCTATGAAAACGAAAAAGGAAGTAAAGAAATCAAAAACACTGATGATATACAACATAAAAATACGTGTCTCATCAACTTACCTAGAGAAATCGAACTTCTGTGTTTTCGGTGCAGTGCCAAGGGCTTGCGAAAGAGACAGATCAAAAAGATTCTCACCGATGCCTGCATCGGCTCGAGCACTTAACTGCGTGAAGATGATTGTCTTGTCCACCTAGAAGTAATCACGGGATTCCAATTCATGTTTCAGATGTATAGTAGCCGCTACCTCAATAATGTTCTTCTTTTTAGTGGAAATCTCATCTGTCTTGTCTTGTTGACAACTATTCAACATTAGCTCCAGACTGTCCTTGCACTTTTCAATGAACATATCATCAAGTTGGGAACATCCTTGAGCGAGAAGCTTAATTACTGTTCCCATCCTAGAAATTTGGAGCAAATATGTAAAAGGTCCAAAGACGTGTAGAGCGACAATAAACTACATACCTATCAAGATCATCTTCAGTAATATTCTGCTTTGCAAGACCACTTTTTCCTAAGTTGATAATGGAAGCCAGAATAAACATACATTCAGCGCGAAAACGATTTGATCTCTGTGGACTTTCTGAAAAAATTTCTGACTACAACAAATAAGCACAAATGGGAGATAATAAGGGATGAAGGATAAAGTTCTCGGCGTAGATCAATCCCTGATGGATACGCCTTGCATTCGACTTCATTAAACATCGTTGGAGGTGACTGAATGCATATTTGGCCTTTACAATGAATTTCGGTGGCCTACCGATGTATCTATTTAGTGCTGCTATCCTCTCAAACAAGTGTGGTACCAGTTTGCTGTATCTGGATGGATGGAAGGCTTGGTGAGTCTTTGGTGCGGAGATCGATCTCATGTGTATCTCAGAGCACCCCCAATCAATGCGTTACATGCGCCCTATAAATTGGAGATCGTAAGTAGAAAACAGAGTACCTGCATTGTTTTTTGAGAACTGGTCGACAAGTTTGTTAAGCACGGTGGCCAAGGAAGCTCCAAGGAAGAAATCTCCATCAAGAAGGAATTGCCTAAACAAAAGTTTTGTGTTATATGCAGCTCCCAGAATTAAAGCTGGAAACCTCAGTGGAGGTCTTTCACGATTAAGTGTTTTTGTAGCCACAGAAAACGCCGACTGAGCTGCATACGTGCCATCAGCTGTTACAAGCTGTTTAGTTGGAAGCTAAAAAAAACCAGACTTTAATAACCTTCAGCAGCAACAGCTAACTAGAAGAAGATAAACGGGAAAACACACCTTTTTCTCAGAATTTCCTTCATGAGAAGGTTCATCACCTTCCAAGAGACGCATTTCGCTATCAACAATAGGCAGTTCTCCAAGAGAAGACTTTATGAGACGTAAGACAGCTAACAAAGCAGCATCTGTTTCACAGTAAGTTCCAAGTATCCACAATGCTGCCATAAAGACTTTCGGTTTGCGGATAGATAAAAGACCCTCCTGAATAGAAGTGTTATAAAAAAGATAAAATGTTTCTAGCCACAACAATAACCAAATACGATCTATGGCGGACTGTTGCATCCAATGGTGTATTGCATCGTCATGATTGCGAGATTTTCAAAGTGAAATGTATAGCGGCGGGTTTCTGCTTCGCCAGCGGGACTCAAAATGTGAGGGGATTAGACGTTTACACCAGGAAGCCAGTATACATATGAAACTGTGTTATGGGAGAGTTCGCGGATACATGACTACCAAGTGGCCAAGAGCGATGAAAGCGGAGGGCATTATAGCAAATATCGTACTCTTTATGACTCTCAAACGAACGGTACTAGAGATTTTACTGGTCTCGGAGGAGCTATTCGGTAATTAACGAGGCTCTAGTGATACAGTTGATAGAATAGTGGAATTGAAATGATGGGTTTGCTAATGCACACACAAAACTATTCATAAATAACATAAAAAAGCGTATAAAAAGAAAGTGATAAAAATCCGAGTTCATAAAAATAAAAAGATGCTAAATAACTCAACATTTGTAACAAAAACCATGTTCATTACATTACAAGCCAACTAAAATACCACTCTATAATACTAGCCTCTAGTGAGTGGAGAATCGTCTCCTTCAAATGTGGCAGCTTATGGACAGCTTCGCGAACAAAGAGCAGAACGTACTGAGCGGCCGTCTCATTTTCATCAGAAAGGAACTCCATAAGAACTGAAAATTAAGCATATGGAGTTCACAATAGTACTAGAAAATGAACATTCGATTAAAAGTACCAGGTACAATGGATGCCGCAACATCCGGAAATTTGATTGTTGCAGAATGAAGAGTCTTAACAAGTGCCTGGCGATACTTCCCAGCTTCTTCAGCAGGCTCAGTTGTAGACTTTGCAATTTCCTGAAGTTCATCAGATAAACAAAAGGGACTAAAATAAATCAATGAGGTAAAATTTACCTTTTTCAAAAACATGACCATATCCTCAACATTTCTACTTGAGACGAGATCTAAGCAAAGGCTAAGAGTTTTCTGTCGCACATCAAGACCAGGAGAGGACAATACCTAAACTGACACTAACAGAATGAATGAAATACGGATAACGAGGGCAAAAACCTGAGACAACCGAAAAAAACCATCAAAAATTGACCAACTCTAAGAATGTCCATCACCAGTTCTTGCAAAACCTTTTCGTAAGATGGCGTTTGACGGAGGTCCATCAGGCGGTCAAGAACAATTAACTAAAGTTAAAGCTTTGAGAAGTGTAGCGTTAAAAGGTTGGATTGCACTGCTTTCTAAATTAACACATTCGCGACAACGCGTCATTTTTTCGCCGTACCCGGTAAGAATCACATGTGAATCGCTCTGTCCGTTGGCTTCTCTAAATGAACAAATACTTTCTCTGTCTTTCACTCTACAACCCGAGATCTATGTGTACCGGAAATTCTTTTGTAATTCCGATGCCCTTCGATAAGTAACCATAGATCCTTTTTAACATTTCCATTTATAACTATATATACATATATATATATATATTCCTGCACTTTCTTATTTTCTACATTTTCACTTCCTATACACACTTCCTTGCATTTTTTTGCGACGAAAATTCGTCCACCATTCAATTAGATTTAGTTGTCCATTTTATAAAAGACATAGCTCGTGATAAAGACATATATACACACAATACATGTATATGTATACACATATAACACATACAAATATATATATACATGTATATGATATATATATATATATATATATGAATATGTCTCCACAGATTCAATACTGTGAATTTTAAAACGATTGGAAAGCAACTATTGTAAAAAACTAAACTTTACGGAACTGAATTACGTTGGTGGGACACAGTGTGAAGGTTATTTTCGGTCAGCTGCTCAACAAACCGATGAAACCACTTATTCTTAGTTTTGATAAAGACTATGAAGATGATGAAGGAAGATGAAGACGATGAACAAGAGAGGGAAAGAACCACGCCATATGACAATAGCGGTCCCCAAATACTGCCTGATTTTAAAATTTTCTCATACCCACTCACACCGTGCCACCAAAATTTACAAGCATTCATTATAGCAATTGATAAGAAAAGAAAATTAAATAGCTTCAATAGACAGGAACTGAATAAGTGCGCGAGTGTTGCTTAGTACAAATTCAAGAAGGACTAGATAATCACTCTATAGTTCATCTAAACAATATACCAGAGCATTCACTCTAACAATAATTTAGAGACCCCTTTCTTAACAGGCTGTTAACACCCACTTTTCTCCTCTGACTAGCTGCTTTTCTTATTCATATTACTGGTATTTCACAGTTCATAATCGCCTAAGAACTGTGAGATGAACCATGACACCTTGACCGTTGGGAACAGTCAATAAAGTCTCAACTCTTTTATTTACTGCCTTTTTCTTCTTAATGGCAGGTTATGTTTCGAATTATAACTCGTATGAAATGCTGAGATATTTGCAAAACTCCGGACCACAGGTGTATGCAGTGGAGAACGAACACGCGCTGTTGTGCTTACCGGGGAGCAGCGCACTTCACCACTACACCATCCGGGTGCTTCGCTTTGCATGTCTCTCATGCTAGTTCTATCGATCTTTTTGTCATCTGCAATCACCCGTCAACGGGATTGATTTGGGGAGCCAATATCGGCATTGAACCCAGTTAAGCTGAGGCTTAGTTATAATCACGGGTGACGGGTGATTGCCGATGGCAAAAAGATCGATAGAACTAGCTGAGAGACATGCAAAGCGAAGGACCCGGATGGTGTAGCGGTGAAGTGCGCTGCTCCCCGGTAAGGACAACAGCGCGTGTTCATTCTCCACTGCATACACCTGTGGTCCGGAGTTTTGCAAATATCTCAGCATTTCATACGAGTCAATAAAGTGTTAGTAAAGCTCCGTTTGAAGTCACAAATCCGACAGTTTTGTGTACTATTCATGATTAGTGCTAATGATCACGTCGTGAGAGATACAGACAGATATGGGCAAGGAAATGCTCTTTGCCTTCATACCAGATCTTTCAAATTTTAGTTCATATTCTGTTCAAAGTAGTGACGAAACAGAGCTGGAAAGAAACGTATTTCCACTAAGCAGACAAAGAAACCTATGACGGATGACATAGACAGACATAATCATTACATTTGTTGAATCTGTGAACTGGTGTTTTTCTACTTTCTCGCAATCGCGCAAAATAACTTCACGACTCAAGTGCACACGATTTTTCTCCAAATTATCAGGCTTCCCACGTTGTCTAGTGGCCATGAGGTTGAACAGGGTGGTTCAGTTGTATGAGCAATGGAGAGAATGGTGGAGAGAATGTACAAAAACGGTCAGCAATAGACAGAGGTAATGCAGAAAACATTTTCTACATTATCTCAATAACATCTGCAATGAGCGATTAAAGCAAACATATTCTGAAGGTTCTAAACCTTATGTAAAAAGTGTAGGGAGTTTGTAGAGCAGTGGTAGCGGCGCCGTTCATCATACGAATCCCAACTCAGGCACTGGTTCGACATGCAAACAACAAGCAACCTTTTTAGAATTGGGAATTTGGTACCTAACTTGTTTAGTATACGTATGCCCCTCGAGTCTATGTGGTAACGTGGTAATGCCCTAGCTATCTTAGGATTTCAGGGAAAGCCGAATCGACGAACATTGAACGACATTAATGACGAAAACAGAAAAAAACCTCAAGTAGCAGTCAAACCCACACCCAAAAAAGCATGAAAACCTTTGTTGAAGGTGAATACAGAAAAAAGAATTAAAGAAAGAAAGCAAAAAATGTTGGCAACCGTACATAGTCATATATGTGATGCTGGGTCATGTAGTAAAATAAAAGGACAGACAAAAAGGTGTAAACTGCAAGAAGGACTTAGGAAATGTCAATTCAGGCTGCAAAATATATCGCCTTGAACCCGATGTTTTCAACACCAGTGGAAGGTTGTGGAAATAAGAGCTGAGATTATCCAAAAAAAAGTATATGTCGATGCAAACAAGCTGCTTTAAATTAATAGGCGCAGAGCTTATGACATGCGGCGGATAGCACTGTGGTAGTGATGTTCGTCAACACGAACATGGCGCTAGTTCGAATTCGCCAACCAAGCTACTCATCCCTCCGGGGCCAGTAAATTGGTGGAATTATCTGGGAAAAAATTACTCTCTGCAATCCAATTGGGAGCGCTTCCGCCCGGTTATCTCAGGACTCCAGGAAGAATTGATCGACCAGCATTCTACGACATTCAAGATGAAATGAAAATCGTCAAGAAGCAACCGAACCCACACGTAAAAGTTGGAAGATTTTCATGGACAATGGATGCGAGGAAATGAATTGGATGTGAGAAGTGCTGGAAACCGCCGTGAAGACGGGTCATACAAAAAATAAAAAGTTTAGGTCCTTCCACACAATCCTTAAGATGAAAGCTCTTATTGACCTGTCTATTGAAAACAAAAAATAACAAAAAGAATGCGGCAAAATGAACAGCTAGGAAGAAACTGAACCATAAATAAACCGTGTTGTCGCGAATATGCTAAATAGACTTTGATTTTGGCCTTACCTTAACATTATTATCGCTTTCCTTCACAATGAGATCAATGTAAGCGGAAGCCGCAGCTTTTATAGCAACCGGAGCTGCAGAAAGCGTTACAAGGGTTCCAGCTGCCTCATATCTGAAGCTTAGCCACAAACTAATAGTAATATATACCAATGATTCGAAGAAGCATGAATGAAAAACAAGAACAACTTCATAAAAACGGAGAAACAGATGGTATAGACGACCTTACTGCAGCCGAAGACGATTGAAGAAGGTTATACACACATCGGATGAAACGCGACCTTTCAGTTGGATTAGCATGACAAACCTAAACAACACCTCCAAGCGGACTTAAGAACTTAGAAGAAGAAAAAAGATTGAAAAAATAAATAAGAAAGCTACTACACTCAAAAAACAGAAGAACCTTGTATATCAGCTCTACGATAATCAGTTGTAATATATCACCAAACTGGGCGACCTGGTTGATACAACCTGGAAACATACGATAGTATTTCCTTCAGTAGCATCTTCAATTATATGCCTATAATTGTACATGGAAATATGCGCATGTATACACATATTACATGCGTACACATGTGTATATGCGTACATGAATCCACAAATATAAGAATAAAGAGGATAAAGCTCTCGGCGCTGATCAATTCCTAAACGATGCACCATGCCTTCAACTTCACCAGGCATCGCTGGAGTTGATTGAATGCATATCTGGCCTTTACAATGACTCGCGGTGACGAACCGATGTAACGAGCCAGTGCTGCTATCCTCTCAGACAAGTGTGGCACCAATTTTCAGATACCGAAGAGATGGAAGGCTTGGTGGGCCATGAGCGCAGTGATCAATCCTATGTGCATTGCGAGGCGTCTCCGACCACTGCGCTACACACGCCCTACGTTGTGCGTATACGTAGGGATATATACATGTATATGTAGGTACATATACAGCATGTATACATATATAATACATGTACATGTGCATAACAACACAACCATCTGATGTAGGATTCAAAGAAACAGGCAATTTCAAAGTATCTTATACAGAACTCTATCCAAAAATAACCCCTCACGTGAGGAATTTCAAGTCGCGATGCTATATAGCGTATCCCCAGGTGGCGCACAGTATAAGCAGACGAAAAGCGAGCATTCACTTGCCCTGAGACTGGATAAGTGGATAAAGGAAACATACTACTTGCCTTGCTGGACTGGAATGACTTCAACTTTATCAGGCGTACGTCTTTGCATGAGCGCTGATTATATACTGCGGGTCGATTCAAACAATGGCATAGAAGCTGGTGAGAGCAAAATATAGGGAAAATGTATGGGAAGTGGTCTTCGATCACTTCCAAAAAGTAACCCTGACATTCACATACGTGTAAAACATGCACCGTGAGTATAATTGTTCCCCATGAAAATGTTCTGGAAGTATCAATGGCTATCCTCGCGCAAAAATCTTAGTGATGGTTCCACTGCAAAGGCAAAAAAAAGCTGAACATTTCTGCAAATTATGAGAAAGTAATGGCTCACCAGAGAGGTAATCCAGAGCCCGTGCTTGATCAACATGTAACAGCATCATAAATGCGTTGCGTTTACAAGATGAGTCCTGTTCCCCTGCCAAAAAGTTCGACACAAGTTCTGGAGCGTCAGGAATAAGAAACTCGAAATTGCCTAGACGGTAACCAGTTAAGAATTTGTCTCAATAAACATTGGAAAAAAGGAAAGAGAAAAGAAATAAGGAAGCACTGCTTACGGTAGATGGTGAAGATAGCACATACAGCATTTCTTCTCACGTATGAGTGACGGTGCTCTAGGCAACCAATTATTGAAGGCATCAAAGGCTCAAGAAGTTCTGGTTCTTTCAACTTACAAAGAAACCTACAAAAAAGAAGATTCGAATAGCAACTAGACATCTGTTGGCTTTTCAACTGTTTATCAAAGACTCGTTCAGGACAATATCATCTATTGTTTTCTCTATCTCTTCCACGTAATCGCTTTTTCAAAAGAGTTTTCCTCTGTAAAAAAGCTGCGCATTACTCGCGAAGCTTCTTCTCACCCGTGCACTTCTTCTTTGTTAGTGAGGCTCAAGCTCAGGCTACGTTGCTTCTGCGTTTTTTTCGCGTCTTCTAGTCTTGTGGGCGATTTCTAGGGCGCTATCCGGCGTTTTCGGCGTGTAAATCAAATTGCACGGTTCTCGCACGCGCGCATTAGATTTTCTACTCCTGAGATTCTAGAGTTTAAAGATATGAAAGAATTATACCTAAGTGTTGAGCCACGCACGAACTCATTTGGATGCTGTAGATCTTTCCTGTACGCATCACACACCAAAATCATTTCTTGGAGAAGTTTCCCGTGAGCATTTGTCTAGAAACAAAGTCCTTATATAGGTTAACTATACAAGCAAGGTAAGAAACAGTATACCTTTGGTACAACCTCCCAAAAGATCAGTAGAGTCTTTTTAAGCGTGTGGTCACTTGACGGCAGTAGAAACCTTATAACATACATCAGCATTCCTTGACCAACTTTTTCTCCATTTTGTATCATGTAAATCAGTTTCCTCAGCGCATCAGTCTTCTCCTTATCATTTCCTTAACAAAAATTAAAGTCAAAAACAAAAAAAACTAGTGTTAAAACCAAATAAATACCTTATATCTTATTTGGACACCTGAATGGCCCGCCTTCACTGGTTGCGGAGGCCCCAGCACAGTTTCTATTGTTTCCAGGTTTTGCTCGTTTAGCCATCGTGGTTCCCTGGTGTCCCGAGGTCAGCAACAACAAAGTCTGCCTCAGGTCGTCACCAACACAAGTAATCGCCACCCTTGTGGATCGGAGGAAAATATGCCACCATGCGACTGTTTGATACCAGGACGGTGGTGGATCCTGGTATTGTTTTACTCTTAGCTGGGCTTCTTGATGGAAAAGCAAGACTCCTCAGCTTTGAAGGTTGCTGTGGGATGAATCCCCCCTGTATATCGCAGCCCGACACCCAGGAACACCTCCCAACTACAATGAAGCGGTAAAGCGTTGGGAGGGCTTTCTAATATCGACTGTTGTAACACAACAGCATAAGCCAAACAACGTATGCACATTACCTTTTTCGAACTTCTCTTTCAACTGCGCTTCATTGGGAAGATCGGCATCGTTGGGGACATGAATGAGGGTGTAGCACGGTAACTCTCCCGAACCCATAGAAGTTGACAAGTTTGCTTCAACCTGAACTTTCTTCACTTATAGAACAGAATATTCCACACGTGAAGTCGATCATAATATCTGAGAACCAGCAAACACTAATGGTAAATTTCAAATCAGACATTCCTTTAACCTCACTGGAGCGATTCTCCAAATAAGGTCAAATACGTCGAAACGTTAGCCGAATAACGATTATTTACGAAGCTCGTATAAGCTTGTCAAAAAAAATCACCTAAGGACCACCTAAGGATAAGGAATCACCTAAGGATTCCCCGGTCGAAAACTTATTTCAGCATCGACAAATAATATGAGGTATACTTGTAGAGAATCCAACAAGTATACTTCCAGCCGAAGGCACGAGATGGATTCAACTACTGCTGCTACTTGATCGCTTACTTGAACTGACTGATGAGGACACACTAGATTGTTTTTCTATTATTTATAAACTGTAGTGCCTAGGCAGTAATAGGTTATCATGAATTCATGAATTAAATTTGCTACGTGTCTAACCGCTAAAGTGCCTGATTAACAGGCAATTCTAATCAGGACCAGAGCAGTTTCTTAAAGTCTCCATTGTTTATGTGCGTCGGCTTGATGGGAGGCGTCTAACTGCATGTTCATCCTAATTTTCACAAATAGTTTTGCTCTAAGCTTCATTGTTTCGTTGTATTATCGTCGCTGTGTGGTAGGTATAGTTAGCCCTTGTATGGTATGAGCACCGTTTTAGTTCCATCGGTGGTCTTGGTCGTCTTACTTTTTCTTGTTGAGACCGTGACTATTGAATATGAGTGCAGTTACTCTATAAGATTATAAGACGGATGTTATGATGTAGAAAAGATCGAATAAGAGCTTGTAGCGGAGCAGATTGTGCTAGTATTCATTGGAATATAAGTATGTTTTTCAAACCGACCGTTAAGTCGTTTCAACCTAAATAAGTATGTTTCTTAAAAATAACTGCCCTTAAGGATACTACAGTCAGTTATACAACTCCAGCGTAGTATTGGGTCATTAGCTCGTAAGAATCTCTCTACATGGTCATTTGTGATTGCTGTTCTACAACTGTTCGGTCTGCAGGGGTAACGTCATAGATCCACCCATATTAGCTACCATGAGTTCTTCTAAGGTCGCAAGCTTTATGGGGGTTATAATTCTTAATTACCTACTTGTACGGTTTGCATCTACCGTTAGTAATGCGGTTGGCAGTTCCTAGATGTTCTTTTGTCCCTGGGTTTTGTTCGCATTGATTTCCTACTCCTTTATTATATTGTTGTTATATTTATTTATAGTTTGTCTTGTAATTGTTACTTGTCTTACTATAACCTCCGTCAGTTATCATTTAGATGGTCTGTAATAGGTCTATGCCTATAGGTTGTTTTCCCAATCTTGGGCACCTACATTGATCGTACTTTAAGTTTACTTTCCAGCCTAGTCCTTTACGATGGGTACTCGTCATGAAGATGGTTCTGTAGCTGAGAAAGAAAGTCGAAGCAGACGAATACTGAAGGAAGGAGAATGGGCCTGCCCAGATCCAAAATGTGCTCACGTCAATGCGGAGTTCAAAAACACGTGTGAGACATGCGGGAGACGTTAGTTTGTTGTTACATTGTTTTCCCTTGTAGAACATTGGCCGAAAGTGCCCTGCAATATACATAGGATCGAACTCTGCACACAGGCCACCAAGCCATCTATCCCTCCGGGGTCGGCAAATTGGTACCAGGTTTGTCTGGGAGGATAGCAGCACTGGCTTTATACATCGGCAAGGCACCGCGAGCCATTGTAAAGGCCAGATATGCATTCAATTACTTGCAACGATGCTTGATGAAGTCGAATGCATGGCGCATCCCTCGGAAATTGTTCAGGAAGGCTTTAGAGGCTAGTAAAAGGTTTATACGAACAGTGAGGTCCGAGAAATCGAGAATTACCTTATGCAGACATTCCATCCAGGTTTTTCGTCGACTTCTATTTTTACTAGTTTTCATTTTAACTCGCCTGTTTCAATTTTGTCCATATCTTTAGAATTGTTAAGCACTGTCTTTCTTTTTAAGAGAAACCTCGATCGAAAAGCAGAGTGGGGAAGGAGATCGGAAAGGAAATGGCCGATAAATCAAAAGGACTTTTCGCTGCAGAAGATTGGGTGTGCTCGAAGTTCGTTTCACTACAGAATATTCACTAAGGGTTCGGTCCATTTTCTTATTCTGTTGAATAACAGATGTGGAAACGTGAATTGGGCCAGGCGAAAAACGTGCAATGTGTGCAATGCGCCAAAACTGGCTGATCTCGAAAAAAGAACAGGTGCGATGGGTTTAAGTTTTTTTCTCCACCTATTTTAGATCTTATTTAAGCAGTTTTAACGAATTGTGACATTTCGTCACATTTTCTTACCTTCGAGTTGTGAAGGGGGCGCTACCGGTATTCTCAGTCCATTTGATAACTATTGACTGCTTTATCCACATGTTTCCTATCTACGTATGTTTTCAGGTTATGGTGGTGGATTTAATGACAGGCAGGACATCGAGTATATAAAACGGGATATTGATGAAGAGTTTGATGAGTTCGGTAGAAAACGTAAGAAGAAAGACGGGGTTGGAATGTTTTTCATTTTATGTCTTTTTTTGTAGGTGTCTGTAGCTCTTTAGCTCTATTTGTTGCAGCAAAATGTTATTCCACAGAGTCGTGACATATATGATACAAAAGCTCCAGATATTATGGAAGATCGTGAGGAAAATGAAGAAGGCGAAATAGACAAATACAAACTTGGGAGTGATGGAGAGGATCAGGTGGGTTAGAGGTAAGATGGAACTTTTATGAATAAATGGCTGTTGGATCATATGAGTTTGGCCAGGTTTACTGTTTTGATTCAGGAGGAGTCAGATGACACTGATGACGCTGATTTGGAAAAGTATGACTTAACTACTGACCCGGAATTGGCAGATATTAAGATCGAGGTGAAACGGCCCCCTCCACGTCCTGTCAATACAGAAAGCGAGTGGGTTTCTATACCTATTCGAATCGTTCATCTCTCTACGGTCTAATATGAGGAAGTATTTTTGGTTGTTCAGCTGTTCATGTTCGTGTTCTGGAGGGGAATGTTCTTGTGAAGACAGCGAATGCGACAAAAAGGATATGGATAAGGCATCCGATCATGTTCGTGATAAAGTATACAAATCTTCTCGTCAGCGAGATTTGTGAGTTCGGTTCTTGATTAGAATAAAATTAGATACATTATAGGCTTATAAAGTGTGAATGTACAGAGAAAGGAGTGATCGTGAACGACGTAGGCGCAGTCGGTCTAGAGAGAAAGAAGAAGAGAAGCGGGATCGTACAAGAGATAGGGACAGGTGCCGTGAATCAGATCGGAAAGGTAGCAGGTCCAGGGAGCGAGAAAGAGCAAGGGAGAGGAAAAGGAGCAGGTATTTCTGTTTTGTTTAGCTATAATTTTTATTTTCGTTCTTCATCCGTAACTTTCAGATCCCGAGATCGGAAGAAAAGTCGTAGTCGCTCTCGCGACAAAAACAGAGAGAGGAGAAGGTACTTTACATCGGTTCATTTACTCACTCATATGAATTTTTTTTCTCTAATCGCATGCTTGAATAGTACAATTTTAAGTGAGAAGTGCGGCGTCAAGCGTAATGTGGTGAAAGATTTGTTAATTGAATTTGTATCGTATGGAATCAGTGGATTTTGTTATATGGAATCTACAGAAATAAAAAACACCGAAATATGCTCAGAATCACCTGTCATCCCGCTGATCGTCGAATGAGCCGAGCGGGCGCCAGTAAATCCTCCTTTTCTACACGTTGCGTGCAAGAGTAGCCCAGTGGGTTCTGCTCGCTCTAGGATCTCATTGAGCATCATATCTTTCTTCTAGGCTTTTCATGACCATCTGACCATCAGGTAGGTGTTCTTCTTGCAGTGCGTTTGACATCCCGAGGAATTCATACAACGGCTTTTGTCAGTCGCTTTTCGTTCATATGTACTACCTGTGCGGCCCACCCTATCTTGGACTGTTTGGCGTTTAAAACGGAAACTTTCGTTTTTGATCTTTGGCGCAGATCGGAGCTTCGGTTGTCTTCGCTCACTTGAGTGGTAGGAATACTTCTAGTATCGTTCTTTCAACCGCGCGTTTAACAACGCTGAGTAATCTTTCATACCGTTTACCCAGCGACCAGGTTTCAGACGCACACGTTAAAGCAAAAAGAATCGTGAAGTCGACAAGGTTGGCACGTTTTCACAGTTCTTTGTTCTCTTAAATCCACGATTTAAATGCTGTTGGAAGCTTCCCAAGGTCTTCACTTCTTCCTGCTGAGCACTAGAGCTAAGTCGTTTATCATGTTCATTCCCAACGATCACATGTACGGTGCTGATCCTAGCACTTTTTGAATTCGATTCGTTTTCCTTGGATTCATCGTTCACGAATCTCTTCAAACATTTCATAGGTGAGTTCGGCTGCCGCTTAAGGATTTTCTTTATGGATATCGTAGAATGCTGGTCCAGCTGATTACCCTACCAATCTTGGAGATAGCCGAGCTAAGGCGTTCCCAAGTACGTATTGCTACTCACTGCGCTAGTATATCCTCCATTTTGGAAGAAGCATACTGTAAAGCAAGTACAATTACTTATTTTTATGTTAGTTAAAGCTCCATATAAGACCTAGTTTTGATGGATTTATCAAAATATTCATGTCCATGCTATCTCCATTTTGTTATCTTTTATTTTAGTACTCTGTGTTTGCAGGAGTCGGTCGTGGGATCGTCGGCAATAGTACGTTTCCTTTATACGGATGTCAACTGTAATCCAGAGTGTGATATATCATTTGTAGATTGCTTCTTTGGTCCTCCCCACTTTGCTTATTTATGAGTTTTCCTATGTTATTTATCTTACTTTGTTTGTTATACTGAGGTATTTCTCACACGTTTTGGCGTTGCAACTGTTTTTTATTGTGCTGGCTTAGTGTTATTATAAAGATTTACTGCAGTTTTTTTATACTTGTCTCAACTGTCTACTGTGCTACAATCACTAAGGATTGCTTTCTTGTTGTCCATTCATTGGTTTCTGTTATAAGTTTTATCCTTTAGGAAGACCAATGGCCAACCTCGAATTTCATCGTATGTTGTGTTGTTTTATATTCGTAGTGCTGACTTAGTTTGGTTTCTCGATAAGGGTTCACGTAAAACATTAAATTAGGATTGATACCTGTCTTTCCAGCATTCGAAGACGGTTTTTCAATAAACCCTGGAAATTTACAAAGTTATGCTGGACACTTAGGGAATCGGAGTCAGGTGTCTTCGTTTCCTTTAGATTTTGTCATTACATGTATTGTTTTGCTGTTCATGTGAGGAACGCTTAGAGATTTCAGAACATAAAAGATGGGGTTGACCAAGTTTCAACTGCTGGGAGAAAATCAAACTTTTTCTCAATAGGATTCTACCAACAGTTCTTCGATGTTGAAACCGACCAGGTTTGTGTCATTGTCCACTGGGAGTGTATCAGTACGAGAAAATCTTTAAGCCTACCGTAGCCTCTGCTTTAGTTTTCATGAGATTCCGAATCCATAGATCTGAGCTTTCTTGCTATATGGGTCAGTGGTGTCTCGCTTTTTCCTTGACAAGGGTGATTTTTAAATATGGTTATAAATTAGGCTGAGGAAAGATTACTTATGTATTTGCACCAAGTTTTATATAGTAGTATCATCTAGGGTACAATTCAAATTCCTCTATTTTTAGGTGCTGAGACGAGTCCTGAACAGTGCTGTACCAACTAACAGTAATTTCATACTAGATTTTGTACATCCTATGCCTGACTTTTGGGGTGTGTCTACTATTAACTGTTTTCTTCTTTTACTCTTTTTTGTTTGCATTTTATTTTGATGTATAAGTGAATAATCAGAAACGACTGTTACACCTGCTGATATTCAGGCCCATTCTGGATATCGGTTACTTTGGTTTTCTCTATTGGTATCTTTGGAAATATAGCACAATATATTGAGAATGATGGCAAACCAGGAGAATACGGCAGTGATTTCAGATTAGGTAGTTATAGTTCAATAGGCTGTGACATCTCTGTGCAATACCTAATGTTATGCCGTTTATGTTAGGAAAAATCTTCAAAGCTTGTTAAAATGCCTAAGAAGTTTATTAAGCTGAAGGAGAAGCTTATTAAAATGACTTACAGTTTAGTGACATCGTCCGCGTCACTTATATTCGTCTACGTTGTCTTGATACCGATTATTCTATCAGCTATTATGTGGCAGCGGAAGTCGGAGTTACAGTATTCAATCTCCGATTTACTATGTGCTTATGGATACAGCTTATCAATTTTTGTCCCAGTTTCGGTTTGTAATGATTTAATGTCTTTTTAACTATAATGTTCGAACCTTATCGGAGGGAGGGTTCTTTTTTGAATCACTGTCATAGATTTCTTTAGATTCTTTGGACTTTGGACATCAATTGGTTCAGATGGACTCTGATTTTTACGGCAGTTTCACTTAGTGGTATAGTCCTAGCAAAGTCAGTTTGGCCTGCTTTCAAATCGGACTCCAATAAGTTTGTATGTGTCTATTCTCTACACGATATTACTTTATAGTTTATAAACTTTATCTTGGCAGGCTTTATAGGCCTTGTGGTAATTAAAGATGTTTTGTATTTGACACGGAATTCGTTAATTGAGCAAAATTGATTGTTAATCACATTGTCGCAATTTTTACTGCGTACTACTTTTTAGTGCCAGGGTATTACATGAAGTATACTTACTTGATACTTGAACGGCCCGTTCTCACTAGTTGTGCGGGCCCTAGCATAATCTCTATTTTTCGGAGATTGGCTGGTTAAGCCATTGTGGCTCCCTGAAATATCGAGGACAGTCTGGCCAAAGTTTGCTCCAGGTCGTTACCACGACAGGCAGTCGCAGAACCTTGTAGGTCAGCGGGAGATATGCCACCGTACGACTAATTTAATACTAGGACGGTGGTGGATCCTGGTATTAGTTTACTCTTAGGTAGGCTTCCTGATGGAAACACCGGACCCCTAAGCTTGGGAGACACTGCCGGGGGTACCAATCACCCCGGTCTCGGTCCGACACCTAGGCACATCTCCCAGCCACCATGAGGCGGTAAACCGTTGGAAGGAAATAAAAAGTGGAAAATGAAATGGTGTGAAATATAAACTGAAATATTTGCAAAGCTCCGGACCGCTGATGTCTGCAGTGGAGAACGAATGCATGCGAGTTCTTCGTTTCACTTTTCTCTCAGCTGTGTTGTTTCTTGAAAACTGCTTATGTTTTGTTTCCGAATTCTTTTTGTTGACATTTTGGACGGTGTCCGTACCCTACCATTAATGCTTTCATTATAACTATTGCTTGAGTATTGCTGTCTAACTGCAACATGAAGAGATCAACTTCTCTTAATCCAGAAAGTCCTGTGTTCCCATTATGGCCTTAATAATTTGTGCGCGATATAGCGCTTCTAATTTCTTTAATGAATGCCGGTCAAAAACGAGGCGATCAATAATCTTTTGAAGGATATAACTGAGACCAGTCTATAATCTAGTGTCATTTGTTAATAAATTTAGAATTCAAGATTTGGTTATCACTTTGTATTGTAATATTCAGTCGTGGTAGTGTACAGAAAAACACGTTACTCATGTTTTTTTCAGGTTGCTTACGGCTCTATCTTTTCGGTTCTATTACTGCATTTTCTGTTGGCTCTTACATTTAAGGTAAGGTTTGCCATACCAGTAAACACATTGTCGACAACGTGTGAACTTTGGTGTTTGAAATACAGTTATTTTTTTTTTAACACGACATCTATTTTCTATTGGTCATGGACTACGCTGAGTCCAGTTCTCTTTTGAAAAACTGAATTCCATTTGACTTCACCACTAATGAGCACTTTAAACACCTTATTTTGGTCGTACGAACTGTTTTTGATGACTTGGTACGAGGTCCATAGCATATTTTTAGTTTTCAATAGTAAACTATTCTATGTGAACGGTGGAAAACACTCATCGAAGTATCGATAGAAAATGGCTGAGTGGAGCATGGGAACGATTCATTTTTATTAGATGTGCAGTATGGTGATGGAAGGGTATCCGTATGACTGCATTTTGGGATGTGCTATCTTTAACGCGTCGAAATCTTCTATGAACACCTTAATGCGTGACAGAAGAGCTAACATTGATTAGTGGAGTAGCAAGAGCATATCGACTTTTTTAATGTTGACAGTAGCTCTTAACTCTTATCCGTGAATAGTAAGTACGTAGTGCCATTTTTGTAGTGTACCAAGAATTTGAACGAGAAAAAAGAAGAAGAAAATTAAAGACTAAGTAGTGAACAGTTCTCTTTTGATCTAAACGATGAAGAATGATAATAGTTGGTAAATTGCCTTTTTTGTTTCAAAATGGGGCACTCGCTCATAACTTTCCTCACACAGTCTTATCAGGACGTGTGATAAATATGGCAGCAGCTGGTATGGTGGGAATCGTTAAAGGTTTTCGAAAGGCAGTGCCATACATAAATGAAGATAAACTGTCTTGCTAGCTAGATCTATGATTCATTTGGTTGGCACTATACCGTCTAACCATTTAACGATGATCTCGTCATCATCAATATTGTTCTCGTCATTCGTTTTACTTCGTTCATGCTGTTTGGCAAGGGGCATGAAAGTCTACACTATAATTCCCACGACCGACTTTCCGTTAATCTAGGCATTGATCAAATAATTCTCGATATTCTTGTCCAGCGCACGAGGTTTTACTTTATTCTTTTTTCCGTTAAAGCCGACGTCTCGGCGGATTTCGCCTTCTTTAAAGCTTCGAAGGGCATATTGATACGCAACTTAGTGCCCCAAACGCTCCAATAGCACATACAGAAAGACGGAAATCTGTATGGTAATCACATGACCAACAGCTTCTCGAAAAATCCACCGCTTTTACATGCCTTCCGCTGAGGACGAAAATCTGGTCAGAGTCGCATATGGTCGATGAGTGCACCACACCACATCAAAAATCGATGCGAGGATACAGGGCGAATCTCTGGATATTTATCCCTGCTATTCATTGTAGGGTTCTTGGTGTTTGTAGAAAAAGCGTTAGGAAGTTTGCGCGCTGGTGTTTTGGCATCCTGTGCGAGGATACAACTTACTCGGTTGGCCCTTGTTCACTGGTCGTCCAGGCCGCAGCATAATCTCTATTTTTTTGGAGTTTTGCTGGTTTAGCCATTGTAATTCTCTGGAGTCCCGAGGTCAGCCTGGCCAAAGTCTGCCCCAGGTCGTCACCACCCCAGGCAGTCGCCGCCCTTTTGGATCAGGGGGAGATTTGCCACCACGCGACTAGTTAGATACCAAGACAGTAATTGATCGTGGTATTGGTTTATTCTCAGCTGAGCTTCCTGATGGAAACACCGGGCTTCTCGACATGGGAGACCCTGCTGTTGGGATGAATCCCCTCACAATACGTCGTAGCCTGACACCTAGGCAGCAAACCTCTCTGCTAGAACGAGGCGGTAAACTGTTGAGAGGGTTCGATGATAGTGACTTTTATATCAAAATCGTCTTCGCTATGCTTTTGTATTCTATGCATCCCTAGTGGATACTTTGTCTTGCTTTTCGTTTGTCATCTAGGTGTTCTTTTATGCGGATACATGAAGATCTACCGTTTTCATCAATATATTCATCTCCGCAAGTATTACATGATATCCGCTATATTGTACCTGTACCCTGCCGTAAGGGCAAATTACGCAACTTTGTGTTCGGTATAGACAGTCGTAGAGGCGGCTACGACCAAACTAATGACGGAGAGTATCAGATGGTATTTCAACTATCGCTACCAATTCCTCTAGACCTGCCCTTCTTATACGTCGTTTTATAGCTGCACTTACTTCATCGCTACTGAAGGGCAGCATAAAAGGGTTTTGCTCTGGCCACGTTTTTCATTTTGGGGTCGTTTTCCTTCTAAACTTATCTCGTGGGGTTACTGTTTCGTAGCCATTGGAGATGACTATTTGTAGAGCTAAGTTGTGCGGTTCCTGCTTTAGTTCGGTCTTCGTGCACAGAGAGATGGTTGCTCGAAACATTTTTCTCACAATCACCCTGTTTATGTGTGAAGAGTGGGAAGAGAGGAAATGAACGAGGATGTCCACATTGTCTCAAGCTTTATCTTGTTTACTATCAATTGATCAGTTTTATCAGACACAAAGTCCATTCCATCTTTCTTCGATATGAGTTCACTTCCTAACCAACAATTGAATGTCCCTTCTTTTGCATTCGCTATGGTGAGTCATAGTTATATTGTACAATTGGTGGGTATCGAAGACCAAGTATGCACAAAATACTGTGAAAACGACTACTAGAATGTATTTTTTTCACGTCCCGTTGTCCTCACATCTGTTGTGTGCTTTACACCGTTTGTTGCATTCGATTCTTTTGCTTGCATCCATCATCTACGGAAGTCTCCAAACTTTTCGCTTCTGGCTTCTACCGCTGTTTGAGGATTGTAATCTCATTTATCGATGTTGTTGAAAACTGGTTGATTCGATTCTCCCTAGATTCCTACTAGATCGTTCCCACTTGGATTGCAGGAAGTGAACAGCTCCTAGACAGAACTGGTATCAAGTTATCAATTTCTCGACCCCAGAAGGATGAGGAATCTGATGAGCTGGGCTTGCTGTCGAACCAATATCGTGCTTATGATGAAACACTGCCGCCTCCTCACTAAGAGGTGATAGCACCGTGATTTAACTACTGATAAGTTTTGTTTTTCACCACGCAGCTTTTCTAAAAAATATAGACGGTACATTGGACGACGTAAAGAATGCCTAGAATGTGAAAAAACGCGGGAATTACCAACAATGTCCATACAAGTGCCGACTTACAGAACAAGAGCTCCAGTGAGAAGTGTTGAGTCATTTTTTCGAGTGTGGAGGGGTGAGGGTGATCGAAGTGAATCGGTTCCAGGTCGTCCAGCACATGCGTTTAAAAATTTCTGATTTTTCCAAACGAATGGCAAATTTACCTTCGTCACGAAAGTGTAAGTAGTTTATTAAAAATGAATGCGAGATTGAATTCTAGGTATATTTTTTTGATGCGGTCCACCCACTTTCGCCTAATACAGGTCATCCATCAATTGTAGAGGTCATTGATGAAGCAGACAATCATAGAAATAGCCAGGTGTGGTGATGTTTAGATTCTGATCCCACATTTATTTATTCCAATTCGGTTTTTTAACTTATTCTCAACTCTAACTGTTACTTTGAGGTATTGCCGACGGTAAAAGACTTAGTGACTTCAACACGACATTTCGAATTTGAAACTGGTGGTCCGAATAAGCATCCAGTTGCGAAGGGTATCAACGAATTGGACAGTAGACAGGCTGTTGTTCACAAAGCAAGTTCTACTAAAATGAGCGAACGACGAGAAACCCCTGTTCCTTTGGCTATGGTTCAAGCGAACTCTACAAAATAAGACACATGTTTTAAAATTAGATAAGATTTTGTTCATGGGATTACTCACAAATACTGGCACGTTTTTATTCCCTTCAGAACTAGTTTCTTAAATTTTATCCTGTATTTAACACTTGTGCTGCTTGTGCTGT